CAATCCCCTCCCTCCACTGGCTGGCGATGCTTTACCTGATGCCCCCCCCAGGACATGATTGGCCCTCCTGGCTGCCAGGGCACTGCTGATTCATATTCAACCTGCCAAAAAGACCCTCAGGTCCCTTTCTACAGCACTGCTCTCCAGCCTCTTGTTCCCCAGTCTGTACCTACATCCTCCGTCCCAGGTGCAGAATCAGGCACTTGTCTTTTTTAAACTTCATATGGTTGGTGATTGTCCAGCCCTCTGATTTATTGAGGTCCCTCTGCAGGGCCTTTCTGCCTCTGAGGGAGTCAACGGTTCCTCCCAGTTTAGTATCATCAGCAAACTTACTTAGAATACCTTTAATGTCATAGGTATCCATCAGTCTGACTGCCCTCAGTTGTCTAGTATATATTTTTATGAATGTTATCTAGTGGTTAGGGCTGTCATACTCCACTGTTGGCTTTAAATTACAAATTTATATAGATGTCTTACTGTAATTTGTTTTCTAATGTCTTATTTTTCTCTAGTTTGGTTTTTTTTTAAGAACTTTCTGCTTTAGCTTTGAGAATGTATTCCTCTAAAATTTATCCATAGTGTAGGTGACTATAAACAGTTAAATTTTAAAAATATACTGTAAAATACATAGGAAGATGAAATGCTCAGCTGAACACTGACTATCTGGAATAATTGTCACTTTGGAAAATATAAAAATACTTAACATCTGTCTTAAGTTTGCTTTAAGTAGACTATTTTAATTGATGATCAGATTTCAGGGTTTGTATTACACTTGTTAGTCATTTAACTTGCATTTGAGTACTCCTCCTGCTTGTTTGTGGAAACACTACATAGGAATGCTGTATTTTTGGCAGGCTGTGCAAAGTTACTTCTCACAACTGAGAAAAACTAGAAAAGGAAGTGATTGGAGTGGAAGACAGAGTAGAGTAATCCTTCCTTTTTCACTGTTCCCTGGAGAGTTGAAGAAACTCACCAGATGCTTAACCAGAGACCTGTCTGCAGCTCTTGCTGTCCTCAAGTGGTTCCCTGGATTTACAGACAATGCAGGAAGCAATGCTGCCCTGTGAGCTTTGCCCATCGCCCCTCCCTTGTTCATTGGTTGGTCAAACCAAAGTCAATAGCCTGGCTGCCATCTTCACTCTGCTATTGCTATAGGCTGTGGGCTGCCACACAACTGGGGTTGTGTGACGATTTTGGTTTTGTTTTGGTTCTAATAATGGTATTATCATGCCACTATGCACATGTTATTTGGACTGAGATAGTTAATTATTTTATTCCCCCCTTCCTCCCATCTGGCTGCATGTTCTTTTTGATGAGGATATTTTTAAGATTAATATCTTACAAGGCACCTTGAAAACCCTGTTTTTAGTGCACATCTATTCCTTGACTCATACAATCTCATAAATTTCTTTTATTTAATGTCAGTTTTAAAATATTGTTGAACTGGATATGTGTGTGATTGTTTCTATATATGTACATGTAAAGAAAACTTCCAGTAATTTCTGTTTCCTGTTAAGAGAAAAGGTTGTATGATTTACTCTCTAAATTTTGCTCTGAAGTCCAACTTTCTGTTACCTCAGAAAGGAACCAAACATGACATACAACACCCAGTTTTTCTGACAATTATCCATTTCTGGCACTGTCAAAAAGCAGCCTGGTTAGAAGGATGGCTTCTACTGGTGAGAATATCAAGCATCTATCAAGTATCTACCAAAAATAATTAGTGAATTAGGGTTTGGATGGCCAGAAAGGGTTCAGAGTGTTGGTGAAGGAAGTGCTCATGACCACTGTAGGTTTATTATGAGGAACTATAATAAACTCAGAAGTCTCCTTGTGCTTATTTCTCAAAGCTTTTTTGTTGCAAGAGGAATTGAGAAAAAACTAAGCCACTGCTATGTGATGGTTTTCTCCAGGAGTTGTTTGCTAGTTGGGACTGTAACAAAGATGTCTTCTCTGTTGCTTTTAAAGTAGGGGAAAACCCCCCCAAACCTTTAAATATAGCAAATAGTTTTAGAACTCTACTGGGGGAAAAAAATAGAAGTTTGTGAATGAACTTTCAGTATTAGCCATTTATACTAGTATTTGGCATTTTCACATAAATCTAAATATAAATCCCTTTTTTCTCACTTGAATTCCCTTTCCTACTTTTCTCAGTTGGTTGAGAGAAGGTGTCTGAATGAAGTCTATGTCATTGCTGGCAGGTGTACACCGTAAAACTTCATTTTGTGATACAGAAACCTTTAGCAGTGAAGGAGCAAATTTTTGAAATTCACAGTACTTTCATAGCTAACTGCATAGTGAGATTATAGCAACTTTGCATGCCAACCTCTTTAAATATATTGATTTCTCTAATAAGGGTAATTATTGTAATCCATTCCACTTAAATACAATTACACATCTTGGAAAGGGCACACAAAGCACCTCAAAGGCACATTAGACTCAGGAAATGGTAAATTCCTCCTCAGTGTAACTTTTGTATGAGTCAGCAGAATATTTTTTCCTTTGCTATAAGACATTTCTTGAATGTTAATATCATTTACAAAAGAATGCATTGATTACTACTTTCCATATGGAAGGAATCCACTGATTTTCTGGGTATTATTTTTGAAAATTGGATCATAGAAATAGGTTGTTCTGCAAGCAGTAAAAAAGTTATTTCCTTCATCAGCCTGTGCATGTGAATGAGGTGCTACATAAAATAACAGAGATTCAATAATGACTTATACTGCAATCTTTCCCCAAAGAGGTATTTATAAGATCTCTTTCCAGGAGTCTGTTTTCAAAACAGTTTTAAAACTAAACAGCTTTAGTTTTCTACTGCTCTGTCTAATTTGAAAGGATTTTAAAAAATGTTGAAAAGAGAGAGACCTGACTAAAAACGCAGTCATGTTAATCATATTTCCTTTGAGAACTTGGGTTAAAAAAAGCATTACTGGATAAGGGGCTCTAATTTTCTGATTCTTATTAGAATTTTGCTCAAGATAAAGTTGAAGATACTAGCTCTTCCCAGGTTTCTAAACCTCTAGTATTTTTTATATGCAAGGTAGTGTTAAAACTGAGAACTATTTTCTGTGTCATTCTGTGTGATTTTTGTGAATCAATCCCTAAGGTTTTATTTGATAAAAAGTACAGCATGTGATGTTACCATCTGAGAAGTAAGTTATCGTAGTACTGAAAAGACACAGAAATACAATTCCTCTTCTAGTGTCTTCCTTGCCTTCTTCTTTACCCACATCCTATCATACTCCTTCCTTGGTTATAAATATGCCAATGAGAGTCAGTGTGTACTAATATAACAACAAAGAGAGCTAAAAAAGGGTAAGAAAAATGATTTCAGGTTACCACTGTGTTCCAGTCTTTTGTTATTGTCTGTCCAGGCAAGGCCACTACGGCTCTCTCGCAGCTTTGTTTTGTGCTTCTCTATCTGTTGATCCAAACTCTCATTCATATTTTCCCTTGTAACTTCCCTGAGAAGGACACTCAGCATTTTTTTCACTTGATGACAGAGGTCTACTTCTTCTACGAACTAGCTCTTTGCTTTCCCACTGAGTTGTGGCTAAACTACAAGCATTTTGTGCCTTCATGCACATGCAGCTGTCAACCAAAGAGCAGAGGAGCACTGTCTGGGTACCTCTCAGGTATATTAAAGAGTTGCCTCATCCCAAATTCCCTTGAATCTGTGGGAAGAGACCCAGTGATTCTTTTGCTTTTGAGGGCACTGCATTAATTCCATAGATAAGATATTGACAGAATACATGTTGCAAAAAATTCATAAAGAAGCAATAAAACCTTCAGTTTTTGAAATAGATTCAGGCATTACAGGTAAGAAAAAAGGAGTGAGGCTATACCCACTAAAATTTACTCTACAGCCACTTTCTGAGCAGTAAAACTCTAAGAACAGCCTCTGCACGTATTTGAAAATCTGTTTAAAGAGCAAAACTATTTTTTTTTAGCCTTTACATACTGGTGATTTAATTTCCCCTGGTTTCCAAAAGTACTCCACTGTTTTGTGGATTGTTTAAAATTGCATCTCATGGGGACTTTGTAGTGAAATGCACTCTCTGTGGAGAGAGAATGGCCTATTCTCAGGCCCACATGTACTCCAGAGTTTCCAGTTCTGGATATTTGTCCAGACACCTACCAGTTAGATGTCAGGGCAAAATGTGGATAAGTACTGCTGTCATCAGTGTAGATTGCCACTTCCGTGGAAGGGAAAAGTCCCTTAGCCCGGTCCACTAGTAGATCAGATCCCTGTGGGACTTGTGAAATGCTACAGCAGATAATTTAGATGCAGCCACATAGAGCATGTAAAAACAGTCTGTAAATGAGTACAAAAGGTATATTAGAATTAAATTCTATTTTATCAGTAGTGGTGATCTATATCACATAGCAGCCAAGTGTTGTATGAAATACATATCTAAGAGCTGTGTTTGTTGATGAAGAGAGGGAGCAAAAAACCTATTAGTGTTCATTACTGTATGATGACTGAGATAAACCAGATTACTAAAAACTTACTGAAAACATCCTTGAAATGTCTGCATGTTTGGAAACCAAAACTAGCCTTCAGACTGATATCCTTTTCCACTCAGTAATGAATCAAGTGTCTGTTTCCTAGAGGTCATTTTTGTATATATATGTGAGAAGAAGAGAGGCAGAGCACTGACTGCAGAACTTGAATTTCCCAAACAAAAAATGGTTATATGATATACGGATACATTAATTCTTTGATATACTTTTGCTGGTAATATATTTTAAGTCATCAGTAAATAAGAGCTTGTTATTTAAAACACAATTTTGATGAGTCAAGTATTTTTACAGTAGACCAAACAAGAACCTAGAATTAAAGTCGCTCCTTTTTACCTCTCAAAACCAAACTCCACCTGTGTGATTAGCTGCTTTTACCCTCTAGTCTCCCAGAACCTTCCATCTGAAACCTGTCCTTTTCTGTCTTCCCCTTTTTACTCTTTGTCTGCACTGTTTATCCATCTACTGGCTGACAGTGTCTTTACATCCAAAATGCAAAGCAGACAGATGGGCGTCTCAGGAAAGAACATGACTAAGAGCACCAGCATCAGCGGGGACATGTACACGCTGGAGAAGAACGATGGCAGCCAGTCTGACACAGCAGTGGGCACTGTTGGTGGCGGCAGCAAAAAGAGACGGTCCAGCATCGGCGCGAAGATGGTCGCCATAGTGGGTCTCTCAAGAAAAAGTCGCAGCACATCACAGCTCAGCCAAACTGGTAGGAACTAGATTGATTTTCTCTCTCACATTACCATTTAAATGTACATAATATTTGTGTATTACAGTTTAATCATTTGGAGATCCTGTTGAAGTTGCCTAATCAACAGTGTTCTATGGAATGAAGAAAATGGTCAAACATCTTTTTTCTCTGGGCATTTGCTAAACATTAATTTTTTTTTAGCAAACATCCTTTTCAGGTTGGACTGAAGCTTTTATTTTCTGTTTGCTGGAACCGACTAATGCACTAATTCCTTGCTTCTCAGGAACCAACATGAGCTGTACTTCTGTTTGGGGAAGTCCTTACAGCAGTTTGTCAAGGGGCACTGAAATGTTGCAAAATGCCTTTGCTTTTGTCACACATAATGTTTGCATATTTCAACAGGAGTTTTTTTCATATTTGAACATGCAATCTTTTTTTAAAACAAAACAATTTTTCTGAACAAAATGATATGTTTTATTACTTTAGTAAAACTGTTTTATTGCTTTTTAATTCATTTCTTTTCAGCTTACAAGTGTTTTCACCGTCAGTATAAATTTTTCTCATTTCTGTTTATCTCAATTCAAATTTGACATAGAAATATTCTACCTAGGAAAATGGAGAGTTTTTCTGCTTTGATGCCTAAAGCATTTAAAATCTTACACACTTTTTCTATTTCTTCCTATTTTGAGGAAAATCCATATAATACACTCTGAAAAGCTCTCATTGTCAATTAAGGAAGCGGTATAGGACAAGTGTATTTTACATAGAAAAATGTTACTTTTATTTGAATAACGTGTATAGAAAGTGCTTAAGCAATTTATATAGTTATGCATATATATTATATATTTCAAAGTATATACATAAGATATATTGTATGTTCAGTATTTAAGTAAAACTGTTGCAATTTTATCATATGGTTCAACGTAAGTTTACAGTGTCCAGCTGTGTGAGGTCCCATCTAAGATCTCCATTGTGCTAACCACCACTCAAACATGGATAAGAGATTTTTCAGTTCTCCTCCAAGTTTGCAGTTTGTATCATGAAACCAAAGTGATGAGAGTTTTAATGTACAACTAAATAGAGTGAAACAGTGATTTGTACTATCAGAAACTGTGTCAAATTTTTAACGTAAACTTTTGTAGGAGTGGGATTTAAAGTACCTGGAAAAAGTAGAACTTAAAAAGAAAGGAAAAGAAGAGGGATAACAAACAGTGCAGAAGAGGGAGGAGTACCAGAAGAGAGCAGGGAGCTTGAGTGTGTGACTTGAATGCGATATGAGACAAAGGAATGAAAAAGTGGGGAAAGAATGTCTCTGAATATCATGCAGACACTGATGGCTCCATCAGTAGGCAAGTCTTTGCAGCAGTCTTGTGTTTTACCAGCTCACTTGCAGATTATGGAAATGGCAGTTTCATGTACATTTCTATTTTTGCTGAGTTGGAATGAATGACAGACAAAAGATGAAGTCACCTTTAGACAAATCTGGGAAGTGTCTAGTTGGGCAAAAAAAAAATTAACCACTTGCTTACTTGGAAATCTAAATTTTACTCTTGTTTTAGTATAGAGCTATGTAACTGTATTGATATATTTGATTATAAAGTCCAATACAATACACTACATTACTGATCTAATCTGGTCTCTCATAATATAAAAACTATTAAATGAAGGATGGCAGCTCTTTGTACAATGTTCAAGGATGTCTCAGCACTAGAGAGAATCTATATTGTGTGGCTGGCCTAGATTTGATTTAAATATCATGCTGTCTTAGTTATTTGGTAGTTTCAATCTGAAGTTTTTCTCTCTGTTATATCTAATCAGTTGCCCAACAACTGATTAGATGCTTGTCAGGGAAAAATGTAAAATATAATTTTTTCAAAAGTACTCAAGGTCTTTTGACCCATTGACTGTCAATAGGGTGTTCTGAAAAACTGTTGAACAAGGAGGTGTATTTTAGTGCTATTGGAAAAGCAGCAGAAAACAGGGAAGCCTGCATGGCTCTGGTGGGTGTCTCTGCTCCCTCTGCTCCGTGAGAGAGGTCTGTGCTCAGGGTTTACCTGTGCCTGACCCCAATAAGAGCAGCCAGTGCACCTCCTGCTGCTGTCTTCTGAAAAGGCCCCTCGTGTGTTGGTTGGATATGGGGATATGGGTTGTTTTGCAGAGCTGTTACTGCACACCAGCTCCTGCTGCCCTGTTTGACAGCACCCTTTAGGGACCTTTTTTGGTGGCCACATGTGGCTGCACCTAACAGGACAGGCACATGCATCGTCTAAACAGCTGGATCATGCAAGTGCACTGATCATATGGTAAGCAAGCTTGTGGCCACATGTCAGCCCCTGGATGTGGTGTATGTATAGTACTGTGGCTCTGGTGACACAAGGTGATGGCCTTTTGGGTGGATGAGGGCGAGGTCCTGCTAGGAAGAAATGTCTTGCATGTCTTAAGTTTCCTTCTCAATGAGAATGGTGAGACACCAGAACAGGCTTCCCAGTGAAGTTGTGGATACTCCATCCCTGGAAGTGTTACAGGTCAGGTGGGATGGGTTTTTGAGCAACCTGATCTAGTGGAAGGTGTCCCTGCCCACAGCAGGGCAGTTGGAACTAAATGGTCATTAAGGTCTCTTCCAACCCAAACCATTCTGTTTCTATCCATTGGTACGTCTTAAAGAAAATGTTGGACACAAGTGCTGTGCACTAATGCCAGAAGACTAAAACTTGCACTTTTTTTAATGTATTTAGTGAATTTATAAATTTCTCTGGTTTGTCTCGTCATGTTCCTATTTTTGGACTGCACAAGAAATCATGTATTGGTACAAGCTGGGATCAAAACACTAATGTTCTGTAGATGTCCTGTAAGTACAGTTTTCTGGAACTGAGAGGCAGGGGATACTCAGATGGCAGTGGTCCCATGTAGAAATGGGATCTAAGTAGTTTCTTAGGGTTTTAGTTAGTTTCTGAAGAAATTACATCATTCAATGGATCGGCTAAGTATCTCCTTACATATCAGGTTTGAAAAAGCATACTGATACCAGAAGATAATACTACTTCTATAGAAAGTTGTGATCATATTTATAGCAATTAGGCTTTTATAAACTGTGTGCTCATATGGAAGTCAGTGAAGAAATGCCTATCTGTATCTCTGACGATTTTTAAAAGTGTTTTGTAAAGTATAGTTTTATTTCGGTGCTTTTCTTCATTCATATTTTATAACTAAAGCTATTCCAGAAGGTTTTTGAAAGTAGGGCACCATAACTGTTTTCAGGACTGTGTGTCAGACTTACAGTACATGCCTTAAAAGGTCCATTTTTAATGTCCTTTCAAATTATTTTAATATAATACTTGTTATTTGTCATAGTATTAAGAAATTGACACTCAAAATACATACGACAATGCATTTTTTATTCTGATCTGTAATTCTTTTAGTATATTCAGGTAGGAACACTTGTTTTATGGGTAAAGGGTATGTTGATTTCTTGTTATAGGTGGCAGCAAAATGAGTAATTGTAAAATAATGATAATCACAGAATCATCATCGTAATATTTGTTACCTAACAACAGGGTTTAGATTTCATTCAACTGTGGCTAGTGTATGTTCTGCAGAACATATATAGTGTATATTCTATCCAGAGAGAGAACATGAAATTTGACAAAAATCTGAATAAGCAATTCTCTTTTCTCCTCAGACATTTACAGTCTCAAATGCCTAGAAATTGCTAATATGGTAACTCTGCTGACCAAACCCATAAAGGGTAATGGAGATTAAAAAAAAAAAAAATTAGAAAAATGAGATTAAAATAGCAATTCAAGAAGTTGAAAAGATCTGATCTCCACAGGGGCAGTAGGAACTGATCTTTTCAAATTGTCATAGCAAGGAAATCCAAGTGTGCTTTCATATCCATTACATGAGAAGACCTTCAGTGGTGCTCTTTGGATCACTACTGTCATGGGATAAGAAGGAGCAGAAAGTATGTCAGTCTTAAGAGCATTGGAATGCAGAAAACTTGAATAAAATAGATGGAGACTCATTCTCTGATATCCATTTGGGCTTGAAAGAGAGTTGCAGTTTATTTTTTCAAAAGTTCATGCTCCATTTAAGGATGTGTATCAGTGCTGTAATATTTTGTTCATATTATTTGATTTAATGAAAATTTTAAGTGTGAGAATATACAGTATCAGTATTTTGTGAACTGACTTGGCTTATTTCAAAGCAATTTAAAAAAGAGAGCATAGAAATTCTTTAATCTTAGAATCAAACTAATGGTTGGATGACACAAAAGTAGTTTTACTTAAGGTAGCTTTTACTTAAGACTTCAGTAAAAGACAAGACACGGCAGAATAGAGTAGCACGACCAACTAGAATTTATTTTACTTCTGTTTCTTGTACCTTTTCAGTCCCACAAAAAACAGCTAAAGGAATGCTCCCTACTCTTGAGTCAAGCAGTCATTCCTAGAAACTAGGAGTTTCTAGGTTTTGAGTTTGTGTTGTAACCTTCAGGTTCTGATTCCACAGACATTCTTTCTAGTGGAAAAGATGGCTTTCTTTGCAGAGGAAAATAGAATACAATATGCAAATCTTAACGGTGTTGGCTTAGCTATTCATACCTGGAATGCAATCATTTTCCTGCTGGACAGCCCTGAGGAAACTGATGATTGGGCTTCCACAAAGGTGCAGATCTGTAATTCTCAGTTATATTTCATTAATGAGTAAAATCCTTGCCCTCTTCTGATTATATAGTCTTAGACATCCGTTTCAACTTCCATGCGCTGTCTCTGGCAGGCAGATACCTGGGTGTCTTGACTTCCTTTATTTAGCTGACATTTCTCCTTTAGCTGGGAAAATGTTTTGTGTTTTCTTTAGTTATTCAAGACCTATTATGTTTGTAGACTGATTATATCCAAAAGCCTAAACACTTTAATTTATGTTTTCAGAATCTGGAGCATTCCATGGATCATACATACTAAAACACTTCCCGGGTGTACACATATTCGGTCACAGGTACAGGGTCCAGTGTACTCTTGGAG